TATAAAATATGAAGACTTAAAACAAATCATCGGCATTGACAAACGGCTTCCCAGTTGTAAGATTAAGTGCCTACTCTATTCTTTACCCATATCTTAATCATGCAACCTTAATTTCTTTGTGCTCCACGTGCAAGCTGTTAAAGAACAGATGGGCAAATTGGAAAAAAAAAAAGGGAATAAAAAATTTGGAGTTTAATCAGCCACCTGCAATGGTTTTCAGTAATACTGTACTTGATTCATACACGGGAAATGGTACAAATTAAGGAGTTTTATATTGTTATTTCTAATTAAGATGTTATCTTGCTTGAAGTGAATAATTTGGTGTGAAGTTATTAGAAAGGGAGGTTTAATATAGACCACCCCCTGCTCAATCTGGGCTTTGTTAAATCAGGAATGTCAAACCTTGAAAATCATCTATGTAACCAATTATTATAAAAGGCTTGAATCTAGACTATTAAATGATTTCTATGATGCAATTCTTTAATCCTACAAACACATAAACTGAAGCTTCTTGTGTAGTAGTTTAAACTCTTTAATACTTACGTCTGTACGGAGAGCCTTAATATTCTTGCCTCCTTTTCCAATCACTGCCCCAGCATTCTGGAGAAAATAAAAAGAAACTTATTTTGTCTTTTCCTAGAATTATGGTGTCTTCCTACGCTAAGATTTTAGCCAAACAAACACACACCACACATGTCTAACCTCTTTTTTGGTTATAGAGATGAAAATCTATCTGGGGATGTCAAAACCATCAGGTTAGCAAAAACTAAAGAGTCTATGTGCTTTAGGGACTAAACACCAAGGCAGAGCTTTGAAATACTCAGAACATACTGAGTCTAAAACTTAAGCAATAGCACTAACTTTACAATGCCTTTCTGCAAGCCAATTAAATAATTTAAATGCTAGTAGGTAGTGAGGTGTATTATCAGTCAGGTAAGCTGCCAACCAGGATGTTTTCTAATGAATTCACAATGTAATCAGACACAATCTTTAATCCATTAATGCTTTAAGGATCATCCACACCCATCTCCTAGTTCAGCCCTGTAGTAGGCTCACTATGTTAAGGGCTTTCTTTTAATTGTTGGCAAAATAACACAATTACCATAACCTAGAATGTCTGTTTAGGAAAATCCACACAAATCTTTTATATTCTGCAGGCTGCAAGCTTTTGCAAGCTTCCCAGAAGGTTCAATCAGAACTTTTCTTAATTCCTACTTAAGAACCACTTTCAAAGTTTCAAGAATAAAATTTATACCTTGCTCTGAAGCAGAATGCGTAATTCAACCATCTCATCAGTGTTTCTAGATCTTTTAAAAGCTTGTTCCTCTTCCATATCTTCAGCAGGGCGTTTACCTAAAAATTAACAGTTCAAATTTCAGAAAGCACCAGCATCTTCAAGGAAGGGTATGTTTAATTACATTTCAATTTTAACCTACAGATTAGAGAAACTTTAAGTCCACTGTTTAAAGGGATTTGTTGCTAATCTTAGGTATGTTTTAAAAAGGCCAAAGGCACTGGTTCTTGGACTTTTAAGCATGAATTTAAGCACTCCATTCCAAATGGTTTTCCAAACACAAGATATTGTGACAACACTTCAAAGGATAAGAAACTTCAAAATGCAAGAAAAATATTAGTTTTACATTTACTGGCTTTCTTTTAATCAGTTTACAGTTACCTATGCAAATGAGTTACTTCTGGTTCATAAATATACACTCAGATGTAACTGACAGGGATCTCAAATTAAACATACAAACAATGAAATTAACAGAACACCAACAGGAATAAAATTGTTAAAATGTCTTCTCACCAAATTCGCCATTGGTTTCGGTGTTGGGAAAGGTTTCCTCTGGCTGTTCAGTTTCCATTTTCTTGTATTAAAGGGACACACCAATCTGTTGAAAAATAAAGAGGCTAGTACAATTGGTTTATTGAAAAGTAAGCTGTGCATCTTGCTAAATGTTAAAAACAAGGGAAAGTAATGACTGTTTCTAGAACGTACCAGTTATTAAATATATCCTTGCAGGGCAGAACTGAAGTGTTCTGGGCGGGACCAACTGACACCCTAGTGCTGCAGTAGCCTATAAAAACCAACACAAATCAGTTTTGCTTTTTTGGTTATTACTGAATACTAAGCAACACCAATTTGAACACAACAAACAAAAGATCTCTTTCTAAAACTCGCTTCTTTGTTTTAGGGTCTTAAACTTCCAAACGATTGCCTTCAAACACAAAAACACAAGCCAAAAGACCGTATCTGATTCTTTTGTAAAAGGAAAAACACATTTTTAGCCTTTGGATCAAGTCCCACCACAGCAATTAGTTATTTTATATGATAAATACAACGAAAACTAGACACATGTAGGGCATATCGATAAACCCACGAGTCTCACTATTGTTCCCGAAAAATATAAATTTATAAAAAGATACACAAGATTTTTACATTGGGATTTTAAACCGCTTTTGGGTTTCTTTCCATTGGTGACTTGAAAAACTACCTTCTGAAATCTTTAAAGTTTACAAATACAAAAGCGAATTCAAGCCATACCCAACCGGCAGGTCAATCTACTGGAGCGATAAACCTGCAAAGCTGATACAGGAGCACACCCAAACTGCTAATACTACTCGACTATCCTACAGAACGCCTGAACACCAACACCATCACTAGCGAGATATTTTACATTACGTTAAAAGCGGTATAACCTCACAATTATACCTCCAACACCACACTGGCGATAGGACTGCAAACAGCCTTTTAGCTCGCCTCTCATGACTGGCAAAAAGCGGCGACCTGCGGCCCCCAGGAATAGCTGAACAGCTTAGAGCTAAAAACCAAGGCCATATTTACGCCTTCCACTCTTCCAATGACCAACTGAAACGCTAATCTGGCCCATCACTCAGTTAAATACTGAGGTGTGGCGGAAGATTTGGGTAAAGTGGTTTAACGACCGCAAGCTCTATTTATGAAAATAAACAAGTATCCTTCAGGTCCTTCAGTCACTGTTTCTCAGACCGTGAAAATCGCTAAGTACATGCGTGGCCAGCCGAGCGCAAACATGCCGTTCTCTCTCCAACGCCCGGGACACCAGGATCGGCAACGGCCCAGCAACAGGAGTTGAAAAAGCTCCCGAGGCGAGAGCACCAGCGCCGCACCTCTCCTCACCCGGATCCGACAGGAAATGGCGGCCCGCGTAATGGCGACTACGTGCTACTAGGCGGAGCCGAGCGCGGACCCCCCCCTCCCCCACCCACCACGCGGTCCCGAGACCTCGTCCCCCGCGCCCTCCCCCCACCGCGGGAGAGACAAAGCAACTGTGGCAGCCCCGACCCTTCCAACTCGCCCGTTCCCGCGTCGGGCCCAGGCCGGGAGCGCCCAAGTGCGCCGGGACCCACACAAAGAGAGCGGCGTTCTCTACCGCCCTCGGGGCCCGCCCGCCGACCCCCTCTCCTTCCCACAAGACCTAGTTCCCAACACTACAAAACTGCAGCTCATCCCACCGTCACAAGCCTCGCGACTCCCCGAAGCCTCCAGTACCGCAGCGCAGACTGCAGATATACGCTCAGGGAAATGGCGGAGGTGGGGGGAGGGGAAACCCGGCAACGTTCCATCCCAGAACAGGCCAACCACCAAGCAGCCCCAACCGCCTCCCTCAAGTGGAGAAACTGGTCTCCGGCCCTCGCCCCCACGCGCCGTTCGCCCAGCCCCACTCCTCACCGGGCAAGGCTACCGTCCCTATGCCGCCGCGCCGCCTCAGCCGGTCACAGCTAGACAGAGAACGAGCGTAGGCCCCCACCGCCCTCCCCGCGCTCTCCTACCCCGCCGCCGGGCCCGATAGGCTGCCCCAGCTACAGCGGTGGCGCGAGGGCGAAGCGATTGGCCCAAGGCCGCGTCAATCAAGGCGCTGGAGGAGGCGACAGCCCCGCCTCCCGCCGGCGCCTCCCTTCAGGCTGTAAGGCCGCTAAGGGCCCGAGAAAAACCAGACTTGGAAAAAGTCAGCGCAGCCTTTCGGGAGGCCAAACCCCTGCCCGAACCCATAATACCCAAGCCCCAATAACCCTAATTACCTATGGGCCGCAAACAACCGGGAAGTAGGGAAGACGTCGACGTTAGTGCAGCAGAGAAACAGAGGATAATGGCGCCTGCAGTGCTTTCGCCCGGAGAGCCCTCCTCCTTTCTCGTTCGCGCACTCACTAGCTTGGGGGAGGGGGAACCTCTCGCGAGAACTAAAGGCTGTCCAGTTCACGCGCACAGGGAGGGGGCGGGTGAAGGGGCGTTTTCGGGGCCCTGAGGGGTCTTCAGGGTTTGGAGGAGGGGCGTGAGTGCGCGGCAAAACGGGCGGGAAGGAGCAAAAAAGGATTAGGGCGCGCGCCGTGGTGGTTCCTGTTCTCACAGTCGCGAGGCCCAGGAACCAGTTTTGCGCGAGGGGAAGGCGGGACGTCCAGGTCGGTGTTAGGCCCAGGCGAATGTCCCCGTTTCCACAGCCCGCATTCGCGTCTCCTTTCTTCCCCCGTGCTCCCCTCTCGCCCGGGCTGCGGGGCGAGTTGTGTGTAACGGGCCGCGGCGCCGTCAGGCGTGGCCCGGCCCGGGGGCGCAGCCGGAGGGTCGCGGCCCGCTGTCCGCTGGCGGCTCGGGGTTCCGGGAATTGTTGGCCGTCCCGCTGGGCTGTGGCGGGCGAGCCTCGGAGCCCGGGAGAACTCAGTTCCTTTGCTTCCGGCGCTGAGCCTGTACTCCCGGGGTCTTTACAGGGCTCTCCGTTCTGACGAAACCTTTTGTTTTTCCTTTCTTTTTCTTTCTTTCTTTTTTGTTAATGGGACCTGCGATACGAGTATTTTGTAGTGTCGGTGCTGCCGCTACGTGTGAAAAATTTCTGGAAGTATTGCTTTCATATCCTACAATGAATGCAAATCGCAAAATGCGTTGTAGACATCCGCTTTGCGTTCGTTCACCTCTTTAAAGCGCCCACCGTGTGTCAAGGTATTCGGCAGTGATTAAAACAGACTAAAACCCTCGCCCTCAGATATGTTACCGTTCTAGCGTGTTCAGTTTATACTTGCTTTGTGTGCGGTTACTTCTAAGGCCCCTGTGTCAGGCTTTGATGGTTCCCTTTGTTAAGGCACTTAAGGTCACTCTGAATCGGTGACAAACCTGGGAAATTGCCAGTAAGTAGTACCCAGTATCCACATCCTGACTCAGCTCTCCAGCTCTCACCCACAACCCCAGACTTGTGTTCAAGCATAAAAATGTTATAATTTACATGGGATGTAAACCCACCGTTAGAATACACTTTTTTTTTGTAATTATGAATTTGTGCTGATTCATTCCGCTGTAACTTGATTTTCCTCTTGAATACTTTGCAAATTAGATGTAACCAGCATTTAAAAAAAATGTCTGATTTCCGCCATCTTTTATCTTTTACTTGCTTAATCAGGAAGAGAACTCTTTAGGAGGAACTGAGAACTTCATGAAGCACCAACATTTACTGGCTGGGAGGATAGTTAACAAATACTGTTAGAGCATACTGTCTGGGATTGTGGAGTTTTTAAAAGGCTCTTTGAGTTGTAATATTTTTTAATGGCCCCACCATGAAGAATATCATAGTCTTGTTGGGAGGTAAAACTTAACTTGTGTTTGGTTTTACGATACATAGTTTGGATTTTTATTTAATGTTCAGCCAAGAAAATTGAGTGTATGAAGGGGCTGGGGATACTTGGATTGTAGAGATTTAATCTGCCAGTCAGGATTTGCAGCATTTAATTGAATCTGTCATTTAAAACCTGGGACACTTCACTAACACAGATAGGCACATATAGGGGTACTGTACTAATGATGTTTTCTTCAAGCTAGTATTTCTGTTGCAACCATCATTTTCTGCCTTGATAAACAGTGATGATTGATGGGCCGGAATGCAAAGTAAGCAGCTTTATCTTAAGAACTTATTCCCAGTTTCACTGTCTTCTGACTGGACCCTAACTGCTGAAAGGTCTTATTTCTCTTTTCTAGATGCCATTGTCAGGTTTTGTTTTTTTTTGTTTGTTTGTTTTGCTTTTTTCTTTTTCTACTTGTTTTCTTCCTTGCCTCTTTTAATTTGCTTTATAGGTTTACTGTTTAAATAACAAGAAAGTCTGTTTTTTCCACCATTTTCATTCAGGGACTTGCTAGCTTGAGGAAAGTCTGTCTTTTCACCATCCTTTCATTCTCTATTGTTTTCAGCCAAACTGTTACATCTGTGCTCATTCAAGAACTTACCAACTTGGTTGCTACATTGTGGCTCCTGTGTTGAGTAAATAATTGTATGATTATTTGGATTCCTGATGAATTTAGAGCTAGTATTACTTAGCTTGTGGGATTTACTTTAGATAAACTAATATAGTTGAGATTGTACACGAGCGAGCTGGATGATTACTTAAAATTTTATAACTACCATTTTCTGAGTTTGTGCCAGACCTTGTGCTGGCAGTTTAATGCTTATTACAGTTCAGCTAGTAAATTGTGGTTAAGAAAAAGTTAAGGAACACGTCTAAGGTCACATAGCAGAAATGGGATTCAGACTCCTAAACCTATTCTCTGTCTGTCTTTTCCTTACATTAGGTTATGGAGGATCCACAAACAGCTCCACTAATTTCTTCTTTCTGATTTCAGTCATTAAACACAAATTTTTTTCCCATAATTTTCAGAGTGCCTTCTCAAAATTCTGGGGTTACCTTAAAGTCATCCCCAAGGAGTTAAAACACAGACTCACCTGTATTTTTTAGATGAAGACAGTAGAAACATGGACTGGTTATAACTTGAGTATTTGTTAGTGCTTTTAAGTCTTAGCTATTGATTGAATGCCACATACAATGTCCAAAAGGATGGTATCAATACTTCTGCCTCTTTTTCTATTTTTTAAAAAATTGAAATATGTGAGGCTGACTGAAAAGTAACATAAATCAAATTTGCCTAAGTCTTAGTGGCAAATGATAGAATTTTTTTACTCTATTCTCTTCTGCTCAGTTCCTGCAGTCAAGATCTAGAATGTAGATTAGTGTGGTCAGCCAAGTTTAGCAAGCACAAGATGTAAATCAATTTTTAAAAAACATTTTTTTCATGATTATAAAATTAATGGAGATTAAGATGTATGTAGTTTTACATCTGACCTTTTCTCCTAACAGAATAAAAATATGAACATATTTTCATGTCATTAAATAGTACTTAAAAATGTTTTTTCAGAAGACTATTTCATGGATCCAATGTAATATATTTAATTAAAAAAATTTTTTTTTTACTGTTGTTGAACATTTAGATTGTTTCTGTTTTTTTTCCAAACTGTAAAAGCACAGTGATAAACACTCTGGCACATAAAATCTTTGTCCTCATTTCTGATTATTTTCTTAAGATTAAGTTTTGAAATCATACGGTGTGAACATTTCTTAATGTACAATTTCAACGTATACTTTTTCATATTTTTTTCTTGGAGAGTGATGTTCTTGAGGATCAGGGGCTGTTCTTTATGAGTAGATGAGAAGTTGTGCTGCTATAGCTAACACCTCCCCTCTGAGTTGCTTCTACCTGCGGTGACTATGGTTACTCAGTTTCTCAAGAAAGGGAGGAACAAAAACCTTAGGAATTCTCTTGAAGGAGTAGATGCAAGTAATACAATTTACTAAATTATTAAGGGGCTCGGTTATTGAAACCCAGTCTAAACTTTGTAATCCCACATGATAATACTTTTTCCATTTAATTAAAAAGTTTAATAAGCTTTTCTTTTTTACCTGTAGGAAAAAAAAATCCTATTATATGTAGAAACATCTTATTGAAATTGTTTTTAACATGCAGTTGTGGGGAGTAAACCATGTTTCAGATCAATATGCCCTCCACTTTACTTACTTTGCTTTTAAATGAAGAATTCTATGTAGCAAATGTGCATTTGGTTATAACATTATTATAAAATTGTAGTATATCATGTAGCTCTGGAAGTGGAAATTTAAATCCTAGAAGGTAGTATTTGGAGAAAATTATTAATTAGAACTGCCACGTGTTTATAGAACAATTTCACTGTGGTTCATTGAGCACTGTTTCTCAGAATTTGTCCCAACTATCATCTGAAAGGAGTTTTGTCACTTGCCGAATGCAACAACACAAACAAGGAAGTGCGTGTTTGAGATAACTACAAAATTAAAAAAATAAAATAAATGAATACATAAGCCTTAAAATATCAGTTTGTAATATTTAAAAATTTAAAAAAACTTTTATGTCATATTTTAGTAGAGTTATAGCAAAAGGAAAAGTACTTAATGATAACACTGTTTTGAAGCTGTTACAAAGATAGATGCAGTAGGTGATGTGTTTCTTTGATTTGACTTAGTAAAGGAAATAATTTAGAATATACTAGGTGAGCTTGTCGTTTAAATGAGATCTGAGAAAAGTCTGTTCATTGTAATAGTGTAGTACTCTTATAGAATGGCCATTTATGAATGAGTTTTATAGTTTATATGCAAGTGGGTATATGTAAATGAGGGACTGGCTTTACTTTCTCTTTTAAGTCGAACAGGGTCTAGAAAATGTTATAGAAATGGAGGTTAGCAGAATTTCGTTCTGCGTTTGCTACCATGTATGATCTGTATGTCTTAATCTTCATGCCTGTTTCATTCTCACCCAAATAGATGACAATCCCTACCCTTTCTATCATAAATGACTATTTTGAGGTTTAGATAATATTACAGATGTAAAAGTATGTATTTTGAAAAAGTTTAAAATCTTACAAGTAAGAGGTTTTAATTTTTATTAAACCTTTTTCTTCAGTTCTCTGTTTAAACAGCTGTACTGCTGGGATATAGAATTAACACCACTGAAATTCCTTTCTTTCATTTTCTATCCAGCCTTGACCTTTTCAGTTCACAATCAATCAGTCTTTCTTTTTTATTGGTTCCTTCATCCTCCTAGAAGTACTAACAGTATTAACTCCTACTGTTTAACAGGTTCAGGTAGAAAATAGCATTTGTGTTAAATGGCTGCATATAATAATTTAGGGGTATATACTGTATACACCGAGTAATTTATAGTACAAAACATTCTGCAAACAATTAATTGTGGCATTTATACTTGATAATTCATTTAAATAATTATAACTTTACTGAAAGTACACTGTCTTGATTTCAGTTTACTTAATGACTGTCATCTCATTACTACAACACCTCTGCCAATTAGACTAGGCCCATTTGCCAGTGCTGTGGTGTTTAAATTTTAGTGAAGAAAGTAAGGTAACTTACTATTGAATGAGTACACCTAAGAGTCTTGGATCTAGCTTAATTTTTGAGGTTAAAAAAATGACAACAGATGCGATAAAGTAGCACTTGGGAATCTTAGGTTATAGAAGTACAGATCTCTGTCTTGAGGATAAGATGTCACTCAGCTGTGGCCTCATAATATCATGCTTGGGGATTTTAACATGCCTTATTTTAATTAATTTCATGCTTCGATGTTATTTTGTTTTAGGGTCATCTTTTAAGCATGCAGCTGAACTTGGTTTTTTCAATTTGAGAGTATCTTTTAACAGGTGAGTTAATCTATGTTCATTATGATTGCTGATATATTTAGACTTATTTCTACCACCTTGTTTATTCTTTCTATTTATAGTGCTTGCCAGTTCCTTTTGTGCCTTCTTTTGGATTGTTTTCTTTATTCTGTGTTTTCCTCAGCAAGTTTGAAAATTAGTTATTAAATATCTATCCTTTTGGTGTTTGTCTTCAGTATTTTTATTGAGGATATAATTTACATTCAGTAAAATTCATGTTCTTTTTTGTATATAGTTCTACGAGTTTTGACAAACATTAGTCACATCATCGCTGCCACCTGTTTCTGTAGTGTTGCCTTTTCCATAATGCCATCTTGGACTTATACAGTGTTTGTCTGGCTTCTTTTACTTAGCTTGCTGCATTTAACATTTGTCTTAGTCTATTTGGGCTATTGTGACAAAATAGCATAAACTGGGTGGTTGATAAACAACAGAGATTTATTTCTTTGGAGACTGGGAAGTCCAAGGTCAAGGTGATGGCAGATTTAGTGGGTGTCTGATGAGAACGTGCTTCTTGTTTCTTAGATGACAGTCTTTTTACAGTAACCTCCCATGGCAGAAGGGGTAAGTAGCTGTGTGGAGACGTCTCTACTGTTTATTTTTTTGTTATTGGGTTGTAAGTTTTTTTTTTAAATTAATACCTTTTCAAAATTCTGACTTTATTTTTATTTATTGATTTATTTTGGCCATGCTGCACGGCATGTGGGATCTTAGTTCCCCAAACAGGGATCGAACCCGTGCTCCCTGTAGTGGAAGCACAGAGTCTTAACCACTGGACTGCCAGGGAAGTCCCATGAGGGCTTCATCCTCATAATGTAAACACTTCGCAAAGGCCCCACCTCCTAATGCCATCACATTGGGCATTAGGATTTCAACATATGAATTTTCTGAGTGATACCATCTGTAGCAATATTCATCCATGTTATTGCATCTATTAGTTTATTCCTTTTTATTACTGAATAGTATTCCATTGTAATGATGTACAACAATTTGTTAATCCATTCACCAGTTGAAGGACATGTGGGTTGTTTCTAGTTTTTTGGTGATTATGAAAAAAGCTGCTATAAATGTTCACAGAGATTTTTAATGAGTATACGTTTTCATTTCTCTTGAGTAAACACCTAGTAATGCTGGGTTGTATGGTGAGTTTAACTTTGTAAGAAAATGCTAAACTGTTTTTCTTCCTAAGAAACTGCTAAACTGTTTTTTAAACTGGCTGTGTCATTTTGCTTTCCCACCAGCAATGTATGAGAATTCCAGTAGTTGGTATTGTCAGTTATTTTTTATTTTAGCTATGCTAATAGCTGTGTAATATCACACTGTGATTTCAGTTTTGCATTTCCTTAATGTCTTACTCGTTATCTGCATATCCTTTGGTGAAATGTCTATTCAAATCTTTTGTTCCTTTTAAAATTAGTTTGTCTTCCTATTGAATTTTAGAATTCTTTATATAGTCTGGATATAAGTCTTTTGTCAATTATGTATTTCTCCCAGTCTGTGGCTTGTCTTTGTGTGTGTTTGGCTTGTCTTTATACTCTTAACAGTGTCTTTCACAGAGCAGAATTTTAAAATTTTGGTGAAGCTCAGTTTATTAATTTCTTTTATGGATTATGCTTCTGGTGTTGTATCTAAGAACACTGTTAAGAAACCAAGATCACAAAGATTTTTCTCCTAACTTTTCTTCCCCTTTAAAAAAAATTGAGGTATAATTGACATATAACCTTTTAGTTTCAGGTATACAACATAATAATTTGATATTTGTATACGTTGCAAAATGATCACCACAGTAAATCCAGTTAACATCCATCACCACTTAGTTACAAAAAAATTTTTTTTCTTGTGATGAGAACTTTTAAGATCTACTCTCTTAGCAACTTTTAGATATGCAATATAGTATTTTAACTACAGTGACCATGCTGTACATTACATTTCCATGACTTACTGATTTTATAACTGGAGGTTTGTACCTTGTGACCCCCTGCACCCATTTTGCCCACCCCCACCCCTTACCTCTTGCGGCTACCAATCTATTCTCTCTTATCTATGAGCTTGGTTTTTTTTTTCTCCTAACTTTTCTTATAGATGTTTTATAGTTTTAGTTTTCACATTTAGGTCTGTGGTCCATTTAACTTTTATATATGATGTGAGGCATTGGTTGAGGTTCATAGTTTTGCATATGGATGTTCAGTTGTTTTAGCGTCATTTGTTCAAAAGACTATCCTGTTTCCTCTGAAATGCCTTTGCAAAATCAATTGACTATATATGAATGGGTCTATTTTCTAGGCTGTCTTCTCTTCCCATTGACTGATATGTTAATCCTTTTGCCAGTACTTCACTGTCTTGATTACTGTAGTTTATACTAAGTCTTGAACTCAGTGTGAGTCTCCAACTTTTTGTTTTCTGAAATTACCTTGGCTATTCTAGTTTCTTTGCCTTTCCATGTAAATCTTAGAATCAGCTTGCCATTCTTTAAAAAAAAAAAAATGCTGGGATTTTGAATGGAATTGCATTGAATCTATATATCTGTTTGGGGAGAATTGAAACTTGATCATAGAGTCTTCAACACAGCATATCTCTTCATTTGTCTAGGTTGTCTTTGATTTCTTTCAACAGTAGTTTGTAGTTTTCAGCATATACATCCTGCACATATTTTGTTAGATTTAAGTTTTGAGGGCTACTGTAAATTGTACTCTTTGTTCATTGCTCGTACAGTCAAGTCTCATTATTCCTGGTAGTTATGTTCTATATAAAGTCCCTGTGAACACTGAATTAGGGAATACTGAACTATTGTTCCTAGGGGAAAGACAAGGTTAGGTTCCTGTGAGCCTCTGGTCATGACATTTTCACCAACTGATTAGTACATAACCTTGTTTTATTTGTGTTTCTGTTTAAAGATACTTTATTCACTATATGTTGTTGATTCATTAACTGAACTTATGACCAGTGGCACTATAACTAATGCCTGAATGAAGCTTAATCTAACACACAGATTTTACATATGACACATCTCACACAGTTTTCTTATGCTTTGGAACACTAGACAGTGCTTCAGAAGTATGCTATGGAGCTGTTTTAAATAGTGAAATCATCAACAAAAAGCACAAAAGTGTGAAAGTGTGGCACTAAATAGAGCACAAAAAAGACACTTGCATCTTGCTAACTCGTTTATCAGGTGATATAGTTTCTTTGTACATTCTTTGGCATTTTTTCATAAACATTCATGTCATCTGCAAATAGAGGTACTTTTATTTTTTCCTTTTTTTCCTCCTCTGCTTCCCTCTTGATTTTTCTCTCTTTCTAAAAAATTATGGTAAAAAACATATAACATAAATTTACCCTCTTAACAGTTTTGAAGTGTACATTATGTATCTTCCTGATGTGGGATAGGGATGCCACATTCTTAAATGTCTTAAAGAATCGTCTAATCAATCTTGTTTTTAGAGTACCCTTTACTTCCAGGCATACTTAGTATTGCCTTTTGTGGGTTCTGGGTTTTTATATCAGCCATTCTTAATGCCACCTTAGAATTCAGCTTTCTAATGTCTGCTAAATCATGTACTAATCTGTTTGCTTTCCAGTTTCCAAAATTTGTTGCCATTGTTTCTTCTCCCATTTTCTTTGTTCTTAGAATTTTATGGCTTTAAAAAATCTATTATCTGAGTTTTGCGGGGATTATAAGAATGTTTTTTCAATCTTTCATTTTTACCCTTAAACACATAATTTTTATATTTTTCTTATAAAATAGTAAACATAATCTCTATTATCCTCCTTGACAAAACATAATACCTTAACTTCCCTCTGAATTCTTTTTGTATTTTCTACATTTTTGTTACCTCAAATTTTAGATCCAGCTTGTTGAATCTTAAGATTTAAAAAAAAAAAAGATTTTTTTTCTTTGTCCTTGATGTTTTACAGTTTACCATGCTATGTTTATAGGTGGATTTTTACACTTGTTGCTTAGCAGTATTGAGCTTTTACACCCTACAGAATCATATCTTTCTTGAATTTTAGAAAAATTTCAACCATTATTCTTTATTTTTTTATTATGAAAAAATTTCACTTTTATTTATATTTTTTTCTAGTTTTATTGAGAAATAATTGGCATACATCACCATATAAGTTTAAGGTGTATAGCATTTACATATACTGTGAAATGATTACCACAACAGATTAAGCTAACATCCATCATCTCATATAGATAAAAAGGTAATTGGGCTTCCCCAGTGGTGCAGTGGTTAAGAATCCACCTGCCAATGCAGGGGACACGGGTTCGAGCCCTGGTCCGGGAAGATCCCACATGCCACGGAGCAACTGAGCCCGTGTGCCACAACTACTGAGCCTGCGCTCTAGAGCTCGTGAGCCACAACTTCTGAGCCCACGTGCCACAACTACTGAAGCCCACGCACCCAGAGCCTGTGCTCCGAAACAAGAGAAGCCACTGCGATGAGAAGCCCGTGCACTGCAAGGAAGAGCAGCCGCTGCTCACTGCAACTAGAGAAGGCCTGCGGGCAGCAACAAAGACCCAACACAGCCAAAAAAAAAAGAAAAAGAAAAAGAAAAAATAAATTCTCCTTGTGATGAGAACTCTTAGGATCTAATCTCTTAACAACTTTCGTATATATCGAACAGCAGTGTTAACTACAGTCATCATGTTGTGCATTACATCCCTATTACTTGTTTATCTTATAATTGGAAATTTGTTCCTTTTGACCACCTTTAACCATTATCTTAAAAAAAAACAAAACTGTTTCCTTCACCTCTTCTATTTTCTTCTGAAACTGATTACTTCAGTGTAGAAGCCTGTTTTCCCTACTTAGCCTTTTTCCCCCTTCTTTGCTTAATTTCTTAAATTTTCATACTCTGTTCTATGTAATTTCCAAAGTGTAAGTTTTTTCTTCATTTGTTTTTAGCCTTTTGTTTATCCCATCTACTGAGTTTTAAATTTCTGAGGCTGTTTCCCATTTCCAAGATGTCCAATTGATACTTTTCATAAATGCCTGTTACTGTTTAATTATCTTCTATTCTTCTTTAAGGATTAGTCCTACTTTTAAAGTGTATTTAGTATGCTCAAAGACATTTTAAAAATATTTAAGATTATTTTAAAAATATTTAAGATTCTTCATTTAAAAACAGATTTCTCTAGGTATAAATTCTCCTGTTAGTTGTGTCTGCTGATGTGGCTTATGGTGGTGATTTTCCTTAAATATGTTATAATTTTGGTTTGAGAGCTCATGTTGGATAGAGGTTTTTCCCATGTGTGTTTTTCCCTTTTGTGTTTTTTTGGAGTTGCTTCAACCTGACCCTCTGGCTGGCATAGCTCTAGATCAGCTGTGTCATTAGAGACTTGGGTTTTTATGTGAATAGCCTAGTTCTGGACCATGCTATATGTACTACACAAGTTATGTAGGCCTCATTTCCATTCTTAGGTTATCTCTGTTTCCTCCATAGGCCATAGGTAGGTATTGAGTGGAAGATTTTTTTGGCCCAGTTCTAGCAAGTAGTCTGTTCTGGTCTTCTGACCTATAATTGGCACACTGGACCCTTAAACTTAAAGCCTTGGAGCTTTAGCCTGAAGTCTCCTTTTCCTGGTGGCTTTAAATCAGCACTAAAACTCTAGGTTTCTCCTCTGTTCCTAGCCCACAAGACTTTTTAAAAAATTAATTACTTTTTATTTTTGGCTGCGTTGGTTCTTTGTTGTGTGCGGGCTTTTCTCTAGTTGCGGCGAGCGGGGGCTGCTCTTCGCTGAGGTACACGGGCTTGTCATTGCGGTGGCTTCTCTTGTTGTGGAGCATGGGCTCTAGGCACGTGGGCTTCAGTAGTTGTGGCACACGGGCTCAGTAGTTGTGGCTCGCAGGCTCTAGAGCACAGGCTCAGCAGTCATGGCCCACGGGCTTAGTTGCTCCATGGCATGTGGGATCTTCCTGGACCAGGGCTCAAACCTGTGTCCCCTGCATTGGCAGGCAGAGTCTTAACCACTGTGCCACCAGGGAAGCCCTGGCCCACAAGATTTTACTCTTTGTTATTGAGTGTAGCTATGTATTTAAAGTTTTATCTAGTTTCTTGTATATCCTTCTAGAGGTCCTTTATGTATAAAGTAAATAAGAATGTGCTTATTTTCCTTTCTTTTGTACACAAAAGTTAGCACACTGTGTTTTGCTTTTTTTAGCCAGAAGGTAGAAAATATTTCCGTTTGATAAATCAGAGGACTCATGTAGAGATTGTTGGTTTCTTTGTTAAAGAGACATGCCGATTTGACTCTGCATGGTTTATTTTTATCACTATGGGCAGGGACCTATCCTACCTTTGAATTTTTACATTGTTTTTCACATGTAATTTAAAAATTATATATTTGTACTCACAATTATTTTCTTCAGTGTAAAGATTTATCAGTTTGGTAGTTATGACCTTCTTAATTCCTCCTTTAAAATGTTATTCTTGTATTCCTCACAATAACTAACTCTTCCTTTAAATTTTAACCATTTGTTAAATTAACAATGTGACCACTTGTTTAGGGTCACAGAGTTTGTAAGTGAAAGATAATTTGGCATCACACTTGCACTCTGAACCGCTAGATTATATACTGGCTCTCATTTGTTTTTTTATTTCTTTTTTTTTTTTTACACGATAAGAGGGTTTTACTTTTATTTATTTTATTTATTTATTTTTTATTTTTTTGTGGTACGTGGGCCTCTCACTGCTGTGGCCTCACCCGTTGCGGAGCACAGGCTCTGGACGCGCAGGCCCAGCGGCCATGGCCCACGGGCCCAGCCGCTCCGCGGCATGTGGGATCTTCCTGGACCGGGACGCGAACCTGTGTTCCCCTGCATTGGCAGATGGACTCTCAACCACTGCGCCACCAGGGGAGCCCCGGGTTTTACTTTTAAATGATTATCAGTACACCAAATAACAACATGTAACAAATTCTTGATTTCTGTCTTCTAGTAATTTTTATTAAAAGATATTAAAAGCAGCCCAAACAATTATACTAGTATTCATTGTTCTAACCTTTAGCCAGAAAAGACTGTTTTAAGGCTGGATGCTGCTTAGTACAGGTTACAAATAACTATTTACTATTTTTTGATAGATAAATCCCCTGACCTTCACAAAGCTTTAGGGGAAAAAAAATTAATCCCTTTCTTCTTAAAAAATTAAAAACAAACAAACAAAACTACACCTACAAAAGAAGAAGTCAGTATTGATATATATGTTGCTTTAGCTAAAAGATGGGAAACTAGACAATATATGCCTATTAAATTTTCTAAGAAATGCAAGGTTAAAAAAATGAAATCTTTGGATAAGCTTTAAGTTTTTACAAGGGAGCTAGACTTGCTATTTTCCAAAAAGTGAGAGGACCTACTATATAATATACAGAGATAATTTAATGCCTTTTCACAAGAATGTAACTTGAGCTTTGTTAGAATTTCATTTTCCATGAAGGCATCTAAAATGCCAGTCCGTGGAACAGAGCTTCTTCCCCTATGCATTTATGCAGTAGTTTTCATGGATCTCTGGCTAGATGTAGCAGGCAAAGGCCAAGAGGTTATCTAGCACTTTCATCCCTGTTTTGCCAGAGGTCGATCTGGAGAATGGTCATCACCTGGGTCTCTTTTTCCGCCCCAGTGCTGCCCCTGCCATGGAATCCCAGAGCTCCAGCTTCTCTGGCTTTGAACCTTTCTCCCTCTGCAGTTGGCACTGTTCAATTTCAGTTTCAGCTGCTTTGGTCTGCTTCAGCCTCAGGTTGCTTGTGGGCCCCGGACGCCTTTTGGGTGGCCTGCTTCTGGCCTGTAACCATTGCTGGGGCCTAAGTGAGCAGCCTAAATGATTGGATTGCCACCTCGGGTCAGCTGATTTGTGCCTATGCTGGTGCTCTGCCTGCCATCTTCTCCTATCCTTTAATTTTCACAGTAGCCCTGTGAAGTAAGTATAAAGGGAAGGAAACAAGCTAAGGTAGAGTGTCTGAGTTTCTCGTGGTAACTTGCTTTTGTTTATTTCATTCCATACCTCATGTTTTTATTCTGTACTACCTCTACTCTACCCTGATTGATAATAGGAACCTTCAAACCATACCATCAAACTTTGCACTTATGAAAATAGGCCAGTGATTCTTTCTGCAGCTTCCTCTTATAACCCTTACTGCTTCTTGTCTTAGCTCTCAGGGCCATTTCTGAGCAATAGAGGTTACAAGTACTCCACTGAACAACCAGTTCCAAATCCCATCCTCAAATCCTGTGCTTCTGTTCCAAATGGTAAGTTTTCTTACGGACATGTTAAAACTTTTATAAATTCGAACTCTTAGATATCTTCATCTGTAGAAGGAAAAAATATACTTCTGTGAAAAAAGGTTAGTCTTTAGTGTTTGGCTACTTTTTTATCATACTGAGAAAATCAGAAGTATATTTACCTGATAGGACTGTTGAGAATTATTTAGCTAAACAAATAAGATGCTTTACATCAGCTCAGAATCTATTGTTACTTGTTATAATTTTATGGAATACAATGGTATAAGTTTTAATAGAGTATGAATTTATAGATATAGAAAGGACCTTAGTAAATATTGTTTCCTAGCTAAATTTTAAATGATTAGAATCTGATTATTATATTAACATAACTACTAATTACTACAGGTATTTCGTAGGTCTGACATTATGCTTTACAAATGTTAATCATGTAATCCTCACAACAACTGTGTTAGATAGGAGGTGGTACTGACATTTTATAGATGAAAAAATTAGGTTAGAGAAGTTAAGAAATTTATACTAGATCACAGAACTTATAGTTTGAAGAGCTAGCCTTCAAACCTAGGTGTATCTTGTCTCAAACCTTTTGCTTTTCTTATTTTACCATCTGATTACTTGTGGCATTTGAAGTTTTGCCATGTAGAAAGTCAAAGAATTATAAAGGTGCTGAAGAGAGAAAAATCTAAAAGTTTGATTACTCCTGTTTGTGCATTGTAGAGAATTATAGAAACTATATTTAGATGTACTGAATTACCATAATTTTTTTTTTGTTTTCAGGTAATAGATGCCTAATATTTCTTTTATATAAAAGAAATGAGTATAGCTAGTATTGCGTTAAGAGTTGAAACCTGGCTTTTAGCTACATGGCATGTTAAAGTGCCTTTAATGTGGCTGGAAGCTTGTATTAACTGGATCCAAGAAGAAAATGATAATGTTAATTTGAGTCAGGCACAAATGAATAAACAAGTGTTTGAGCAATGGCTCCTTACTGATCTGAGAGATTTGGAGCATCGTCTTTTACCTGATGGCATTTTAGAAGTTCCAAAAGGAGAACTGAATGGATATTTTGCTCTGCAGATTAATTCATTGGTTGATGTAAGTCAACCTGCGTATGCCCAGATACAAAAGTTGAGAGGAAAGAATACAACCAATGACCTAATTACAGCTGAAACACAAGTAACCCCAAAACCTTGGGAAGCAAAGCCTTCACGAATGTTGATGCTACAGCTTACTGATGGAATTGTACAAATACAGGGGATGGAATATCAGTCTATTCCAGCTCTTCATAGTGATCTTCCTCCAGGTACAAAAATTTTGATTTATGGAAACATTTCTTTCCGTCTTGGTGTTCTCTTATTGAAACCAGAAAATGTGAAGGTGTTGGGAGGAGAAGTAGATGCTCTTTTAGAGGAATATGCCCAAGAAAAAGTTCTTGCAAGATTAATTGGGGAACCTGATCCTATAGTTCCAGTCATACCAAATAATTCTAACCAAAGCATCCCCAGAATTACAGATGTTCTACATCCTGCATTAGGACCTTCTGATGAAGAACTCTTGGCAAGTCTTGATGAAAATGATGAGCTTGCAGCAAATAATAACACCTCTTTGGAAAGAAGTTGTTTCAGCACAGGTAGTTCTTCAAATACTGTTCCCATCAGACAGTCAGATTTTGAACCAGGACTTGTTATTTCTCCAAGATCAAAAGAGAAACCACGAAACCAGTCTATGCTTTTTACTGATGAGGAATTGGATGACTTTTCATTGGAGGAGGCCTTGCTTTTAGAAGAAGCTGTCCAGAAAGAACAAACAGAGACCAAAGAATTACAGCCACTGACTTTGAACAGAACTACAGATGAAAGTATAGAGAGATTTTCACATAGATCTAATACTCTGAATAATTTTTCTTTGATTTGCAAAAATGGAAATAATAATTGGAATGAAAAAAATTTATCTGAGCAAATAACTAATGAAGACAAATCTTTTAGTTGTCCATCTGCTAGAGACCAAAACAGTAGTATTGTTTCAGTTAATCATAATGTACCCCTACCCCATAATTTTACAAATAAAGATAACAACTCAGAGACATATAATAAAATAAAACAAACCAGCAGTTCAGATGGACATTCCTTAAATAATAAAATATTAAACGGAGAGCTGGTCAATTATGTACCAAAAAGTTGTTCACACATTTTTAATAAAAATGAGCACCACTTACAGACTTGTTCTTCAAGATCATCAGAGAATAGCACTAATCTTTCTGTCACCATGGATTTATATTCTCCACCTTTTATCTATTTGTCTGTTCTAATGGCCAGCAAACCAAAGGAAGTTACAACAGTGAAAGTCAAAGCATTTATTGTAACCTTAACTGGAAATCTCTCAAGTTCTGGTGGCATTTGGAGTATAACAGCAAAAATTTCTGATGGTACTGCATATCTAGATGTAGACTTTGTAGATGAAATACTTACTAGTCTGATAGGGTTTTCAGTACTAGAAATGAAACAGTTAAAAAAGGATCCTTGTAAATACCAAAAGTTCCTGGAAGGTTTGCAGAAATGTCAGAGAGATCTAATAGATTTGTGCTGTCTAATGACTATTTCATTGAATCCCTCCTTGTCTAAGGGAACGGTACTGGCATTACAAGATGTTAATGTGGAACACCTTGAGAACCTAAAGAGGCGAGTAAAGAAATAATTTACTAGCAAACAATTTTAAAAAACAAGGAAATATTTAGAATTAAATTTGTCCTTTTACTTTCACAACTTTCTTTTTGTAAAAGGGGAAAAGGATTTCATAACTGATTTCAGTCTAATTTTAAAATGTTTAATTATGTTTGTGTATGTAAGTTTTTTAAATAAATTTTTTATAGTAACTGCTGAAGCAATTTGATGACCCACTGTTGTTGAGAAATTTTGTTTTCCACTTGTTATTTCACATAAGGTGACTGCTAAAGTACTGTATTGGTGTTTACTGATGAATCATACTGTTGAAAGTTAACAATTACAAATAGGTAGTTGAGTACTTCTAATATGTAGAGTACCCCAAAAGATTTGTTTATATTATTAGGAAAAAATGTAAATACAGTGGATTAGAATGTCAGACTCAGATACAAATTGTTTTGCTGGTTTTTGTTTTGCTGATTGGAAATATTTGTCTGGTATATTTAAAACAAATTATCTTAATTAGATACCATTTCAGAGATTATATTGAATAGTTAAAAACTTTATTTTCAACGATAATCTATTATTATTAAGAAGATCCAGTAAGTATTTCATTTTTTTTTTCTGGATTAAAATAAGGTATTTACACATGTCTTTAGTTATTTCCTTTCTTTTTTTTTAAAATTTATTTTATTTTATTTATTTTTGGCTGCGTTGGGTCTTTGTTGCTGCACGCGGGCTTTCTCTAGTTGCGGTGAGCGGGGGCTACTCTTCGTCGTGGTGCACAGGCTTCTCATTGCGGTGGCTTCTCGTTGCGGAACATGGGCTCTAGGCGCACGGGCTTCAGTAGTTGTGGCACGTGGGCTCAGTAGCTGTGGCTCGTGGGCTCCAGAGCACAGGCTCAGTAGTTGTGGCACATGGGCTTAGTTGCTCCGCGGCATGTGGGATCTTCCTGGCCCAGGGCTCGAACCCGTGTCCCCTGCATTGGCAGACGGATTCTTAACCACTGCACCAGCAGGGAAGTCCCAGTTGTCTCCTTTCTGAATTAGGTGTACATGTAAGTTCTTCCTTTAGTTTTGTTGGAAGTGCTGATTTCTTTTTTAGGGAGATTGTTCCCCCGGCCTCCCATCCCCACAAAAAAAAACCAGAAGGGAGACTGTTTCCCACTTTTCCACTTTGCTGTTAAAAAGTCACATTTGAAAGGTAAAATTATTTTTATTATTCTTTTGTTTTTAAAAAAATCTAAATTAAAGTATCTTGAATTTTAAAACATTAAACAAATAATAAAATGAAGACACTGTGTTTTTAGTTAAAATAATGTAATAGGAAAATATCTGGAAGTAAGATAAATACATATATAAAAATATATGGATATAGTAGAAAAATATTATAAAATCTTTTGTCATTATTGCTTGAAGGATGATAATCAGAGTTCAAGGCACAATCCAGATTTTGCTGCTGTATCATCTGATAATAACCACTTCTATATACTTGCATAGCTCTTTTACTACAAGAGATCTAAATGGATGTTATCTTTCATTATCTTTCTTGTAAATGTTCTCCTGTACCCTATCTCTTTGAGTAGTGCTGGAAAGCTGGGATTAAACCTTATTTTCTCTTCATATTCCGTCACTAAAGACTGGGTATAGTACTTTACCATATCAGTCCATCCTTCTAATTGGTGCTTTAATTCTGGCTCTAGTTTTCTCTGGCCTTAAGTATTCCAGTAGGTTTACTAATTGGCCTGTGCCTTATTTCGCCCTTAAGCCTTTTCCCGTAATTCTTCCTGAATGATCTTTCTTGAATAAGAAATTTCTTGTTTTCTCTTTGTTACCCTTTAATAACAACCTCCTCCTATCTGCTTACCTACAGGGTGAAGTCCAAACTCTTCATGTATAGTATGTAAGGCCTTTTGCAATCTGACTCTTGCCTTCCTTTTCAGCCTCATCTTGCCTCCTTATTCTTTTTTTTTTTTAAAATAAATTTTTATTTATTTATTTTTGGCTGCGTTGGGTCTTCGTTGCTGCGCACAGGCTTTCTCTAGTTGCGGCGAGTGGGGACTACTCTTTGTTGTGGTGCGTGGGCTTCTCATTGCAGTGGCTTCTCCTGCTGTGGAGCACAGGCTCTAGGTGCGTGGGCTTCGGTTGTTGTGGCACACGGGCTTAGTTGCTCTGCGGCATGTGGGATCTTCCCTGACCAGGGCTTGAACCCGTGTCTCATGCTTTGGCAGGTGGATTCTTTACCACTGCGCCACCAGGGAAGTCCCATTGCCTCCTTATTATTCACCTACCTGGTCTGCCACTAAATTTTAGTCATAGTTGTTCTCCAGATGTGGGGAATATACCTCATGCATGGCTCATAGTAATACCGCTACCTCCCATATTCGTTTGTATTTCCACTCAGCTTAAGCTTTAGATGCCCACTGAAGTGTTTCATGAATTCCCCTGCCCACTTTCATGCTCTCTATATATTGTACAGACTAATATTATATATATTATTGTACTTATTTGCTTCCTTTACTTTACTGCTATATTTCGGGCAGAATAATTCTTTGTTGTAGAGAGCTGTCATGGGCTGGCCTCTACCCATGTGATGTCAGTAGAATCCTTCCATTTGTGACAACCAGAAAATATTCCCTGGGAGACAAAACTGCCCTTGGTTGAGAACCATTGCTTTAATGGAATATAAGCGGCTTGGGGGTATGGCTAAGTGATTTACCTTTGTAACTCCAGTAAGTATTTATTGTTATTACAAATGAATCAACATATCTGATCATCTGCGTTCCCTTGCTTAATATCTTTTAGTGATTTCTCATCATCTGTTCAGTAACGTGGTACTTAAAGCCCTGAAACCTCTGCATACATGGCACCTCAAATATCTTCTTCAGTGAAAGAGTAAATTAGAAAAATCTGCCCAAGAGACTATAAGAAAACTTGGTTGACTTCACCTAGATTCTAGTAGAGAGGTAAAAAGTTTTCCCTGAGAATTTGTAGCCATAGGTCTGCTCTTATGTGAGGCTAAGCAGACACTCAAGTTACCTGCATGATAATCTCCAACTGAGAATTCAAAAAAGAATGACGCTGTGGGAGGCTGGCAGAAGCAAATGGGAAGGGGAAAAAATGGGCATAATCAGATCATCTTTGTGTGCCTCTTAGGAGTAAATCTGCTTTCAGAGAGTACATATTCTTTGCTCCTCCATTCTGTATATCTTACATGTATTGGCCCCTGCCCTAGTCCACCACTGCTTGTGATTGGGTGGGTACATCTGCTCAATTCTGGAGTTAGCAGGCACTACAAGAAATGCTCAGACACTCATGGACAACTGTGTAATATGCGCAAGAGGAAAACAGAAAAGTTTGAAAATATCAATAGGGAATTGGGAATTTTAAAAAACTGAACGACTATAATAGCTAAAAATAAAAAATCAGTGAATGAGTTTAACTCTTGATGAAACACAGCTGAGGATACAGTGAATTAAGTTTGGTCAGAAGAAAAAAATTCAGATTAATGTATAGAGAGACAAAAGCATGGAAAAGAACCAGAAAACAATGTAACACCAAGAAGGGCTAACATTAATGTAGCTGTAGTCCTTGAAAGAGAGGAAATAGAGCACACTTAGAGTTAATGCTTAAGAAATTTATAAAGTTTATGGAAATCAAGCTACAGGTTTCAGAAGTCCCACAAACCCCAAGCAAAATATATTCAGAGAAAATCATACCTGTGCAAATATTATCAATACCATTGAAAGCTAAAAAAAGAGAAAAAGAGCAGTGAAAGAAGGCATATTTCAAAGGACCAAAAACATGGCAACTGACTAAATAAAGACAGTGGGAATCATGATGGTGTGCTCCTGAAACTTATATGCCAATTTTACCTCAATTTAAAAATTTGGGGATCAGAAGACAATGGGATGGCGTCTTCAAAATGATGGAAAAAATAAGTACCAACCTAGAGTTCTGTACAAACCAAAAATGCCCTTAACAGTAAGGGTGCAATTGGTAAAATTAAGAAAAATTCACACACAAAAATAATTTTTTCCCTAACAAACTACACAAGAAGGTTGTCTTTAAGCAGAAGGAAAATGGTAACCAGATGGAAGCTTGGAGACACAGGAAGGAATGATGAACAACTGAAAGGGTAAATATATGGGTTAAATGAATAGCAATTTTGAAATGAAAATAATTCTTGAGGGTTAAAAAAAAACAAAGGACTAAACTACATGAAAACAATGGCAGTTGAGTGAGGGATAAAGAAAAGTATTTTAAGGTCCTTATGTCAGAGAAAAGGTTAAATCTGCTGTTTTATATTGGACTTGAATATTCAAAGTTGCATGTTATATTTAGAGTATAGACACTAAAAGATTTGAAAAGTAGTCTATCACTATATACTAATGCGAATAAAAAGAATAACAAGAGCAAAAAAGTGTTCTCAACCCAAAAGAGCAAGAAGGGGAAAAGAACAAAGAAAAAATGGTATATAGGAAAAACAGTGGGTGAGGTGGTAAATTTAAATCCAAATGGATCACCCAGAGAGATAAACCCACACACATATGGTCACCTTATCTTTGATAAAAGAGGAAAGAATATAGAGTGGGGAAAAGACAGCCTCTTCAATAAGTGGTGCTGGGAAAACTGGACAGCAACATGTAAAAGAATGAAATTAGAACATTCCCTAACACCATACACAAAATAAACTCAAAATGGATTAAGGACCTAAATATAAGGCCAGACACTATAAAACTCTTAGAGGAAAACATAGGAAGAACACTCTTTGACATAAATCATAGCAAGATCCTTTTTGAGCCACCTCCTAGAGAAATGGAAATAAAAGCAAAAATAAACAAATGAGACCTAATGAAATTAAAAGCTTTTGCATGGCAAAGGAAGCCATAAAAAAGACGAAAAGACAACCCTCAGAATGGGAGAAAATATTTGCAAATGAATCAATGGACAAAGGATTAATCTCCAAAATATATTAGCAGCTCATGCAGCTCAATATTAAAAAAAACAACCCAATCTGAAAATGGGCAGAAGACCTAAATAGACATTTCTCCAAAGAAGACATACAGATGGCCAAGAGGCACATGAAAAGCTGCCCAACATCACTAATCATTAGAGAAATGCAAATCAAAACTACAATGAGGGGCTTCCCTGGTGGCGCAGTGGTTGAGAGATCGCCTGCCAATGCAGGGGACATGGATTCATGCCCCGGTCCGGGAAGATCCCACATGCCCCAGAGCGGCTAGGCCCGTGAGTCATGGCTGCTGTGCCTGCACGTCCGGAGCCTGTGCTCCACAACGGGAGAGGCCACAGCAGTGAGAGGCCCGCATACCGCCAAAAAAAAAAACCTACAATGAGGTATCACCTCACACCAGTTAGAATGGGTATCAGAAAATCTACAAACAACAAATGCTGGAGAGGGTGTGGAGAAAAGAGAACCCTCTTGCACTGTTGGTGGGAATGTAAATTGATACAGCCACTATGGAGAACAGTATGGAGGTTCCTTTAAAAACTAAAATAGAACTACCATATGACCCAGCAATCCCACTATGGGGCATATACCCTGGGAAAACCATAATTCAAAAGGAGTCATGTACCACAATGTTCATTGCAGCCCTGTTTACAATAGCCAGGACATGGAAGCAACCTAAGTG